GCTGTTCCCCGCGGGCTCAAACGTTCCAGCAGTGGAAATATGAGACTCGGAATTGTCAGAACTCTCGGGTTCCCTACGCTGTTTGACGGTCTTGGCATGAATTTGACGACGGCCCGACCGGGCAAGTTCGAGCCACCGAAGCTCCAGTTTCCTGTCTCGTATCCCGAGCCCTGCGCTTCGTGGCGTCATTCTCCCCCTGTCCAAGGCTGGCGTCAGGCACGTTCGACCCCGAAACTTGAGCCCCATGCCTCCCCGATCCAGAGACGCTGGCCGCTAGAGACTCTCTCGCACCGCTGGAATCCAGACATTATCCGACATTGTCTTGCTCGTAGCTCTGCGTCTCATCAACTTTTGATGGCCCCGGGGCCCGAAGGTCGAAATGAAGGGAAAACGCTTCGATCGAACAAGATCATGCCGTCGGAGGTCTGGGAGCGTACCCCGAGCCGGCCGCCTCGCGGCGCCGCGCCCGCTCTGCCCACGAAGGCAGGCGTGCTGCGCCGCTGGTCCAGGAAGCCGCTCACGCCAGGCGCGCAGCCGACCACGGAGGAGGAGCGCGCTGGCGCGAGCAAAGTCCAGGGGGGAAAAGCCACACAGGCACAAACGATCGCCGATTCCCATACATGTGCATATCGATATGTTTATATATATATATACATGTGTGTTTTAGGGGGAAGTGGAGGGGAAGACGAGCATCTGGGAAATATGATGAGAAACAGAGGGGGAGTCCTGTGATTTGTGGGTGTGAAATTGTGTGTCCCTGGGCCTCTTGTCAAAGGGATGCGCGAGAGGAAGACCGCATTCTTAGGTTCGAGATTCGTGTGGTGAGTCAGTGGGCATCCCTGAGATCTTGGCGTTGCAAATTTGTCACCCTGGGCGTTTCGGCCCAGTTTCGGCCCCCAGGACCCTCACAGGCCGATCCGGCTCGGAGAATGGCGCAGGACGATGATGTCGGGGGCTCCAGTCGTCATTCGTCGGGGTTTCAAATTGTTGTTTCGCAGCATCGGATCTCAGGGATTCTGGATTCTCAAACGTTTTCGTCGGCCCGTAGGTTTTCCTGCCTTGGGATTCGCAGCATCGGATCTCAGGGATTATGGATTCTCAAACGTTTTCGTCGGCCCGTAGGTTTTCCTGCCTTGGGATGCTTTCCAGCAGCTGCGCCTCGCCGAAAGCGTTCTGGAGGTGCCCAAATCGTCCCGAACGGCCGTCAGGGACCCGTGTTATGACGCGAAGGCCAAGCCGCAACGCAATTCGCGTCGTGGCAAGAGTTGTGCTGGAAGGTCTTTAGCAGTCTTTGGCCCAGGGGGGGACCGTCTGAAAACGGCTCGGGATAGAAAACCAGTCTTAAGTCGGGCATGTCCTCCTGCAGGAGGAAGATTTAAGAACAGTAAAAGATCGTATCGGGACGATCTGTTCGTGCTCCTCTGATTATGGTTGGATATGTTTGGACTATGTGCATTATTGTTCTTCCAAAATCCGCCTGTAGGAGCACATGCCCGACCTAAAACCAGCCCTGGAGAAGGGGGCGGAACATCTGGGGATCCACGTTGTGAAATGATTCTGGCGAAGGACCCAACCATGTGTTGTTGTCAGTACTGTCGCTGTGAGTATCGCTTTCTGCACCATACGAACCCCTGGCATTCGGGCATTAGCTTTAGAAAGCCCAGGGTTCGCTAGGGACTGGTTTCCCCCCCAAACGACGAGAACCCTTCCAAAACCTGTCCAACACTATCCGAAAGGCCTCCCGGAACCCTTTTCGGAGGGATTCCTGGGAGGTTCGGGAGGGGTTCGACGGTTTGAACGGAAACCAGTGCCTAGCGAACCCTGGACTTTCTAACCTTAGCTGGAGCTCCCGTTGGGACCACGAAACGTGTGAGGAATGTGCTGGAATGAGGCCCCGACACCATGCGAACCCAGGCACCTAGGCCCTTAGCTAGAGCTCCCTACACCTGCATGTGGGCCTTAGCTGGAGATCCCCATGGAGCCACGAAACGTGAGGGGTCTGACGGAATGAAACATCGATGCCATGCGAACCCTGCATGTGGGCCCTTAGCTGGAGCTCCCTAGGGGGCCACGAATCGTTTGAAGAGCGTGCCGAAATGAGGCACCGCCGCCATGCGAACCCGACACGCGTGAGAGGTGTGCTGAAATGAGTCACCGCCGCCATGCGAACCCAGACATTTGGGTCTTAGTTGGAGCTCCCTTTGGGGCCACCAAATGTGTGAGTGGTGTGCCGATGCGAGGCACCGGCGCCACGCGACCACTGGCACTCGGGCATTAGCTGGAGTTCCATATTAGGCCACGGAAGGTGTGAAGGTTGTGCCAAAATGAGGCGTCGACGCCATGTGGACCCTGGCATTTGGGCCTTAGCTGGAGCTCCCTATTGGGCGACGAAGCGTGTGATGGTTGTGTCGGAATCAAGCACCGACGCCATGCGGACCCCGGAATTTGGGCATTGGGTAGAGCTCTCTATGAGGGATATGTTGATATGCGTGAGGGGTATGCCGAAATGAGGCACCGCCGCCATGCGAACCTTGGCATTTGGGCCTTAGCTGGAGCTCCCCATAGGGCCACGAAAGGTGTGAGTGATGTGCCGATATGAGGCACGGGCGCCACGCGAAATCTGGCACTCGGGCCTTAGCTGGATGAGGCCACGAAGGGCGTGAAGGTTGTGCCGACATGAGGCGCCGACGCCATGTGGACCCTGGCATTTGGGCCTTAGGTGGAGCCCCCTACTGGGCCACGATGCGCGTGAGGGGTGCACTGAAATGAGGTACCACTGCCATGCGGACCTTGAAATCTGGGCCTTAGCTGAAGCTCCCCCTGGGGCCATGAAGCGTGTGCGGGGTGTGCCGCCGAAGTGGACATGCGGAGGGCAGAGGCAGGGATGGGAGGAGGAGGAGGAGGAGGAGGAGGAAGAGGAAGGGAGAGGAGGAAGGAGGAAGGAGGAGACACGGGGGGCTGCCTCTTCAGAACAAGGACAAAACACCACAGGATGGTTGGGAAAATGCGACGTCGGGGTTGTGGGCTTCTTAGAAGGCAGGGGCTTTCTGCCCACAGTTTCCAGATGGGGCTGGACCACATGGGATCGGAAGATCGCGCCGCATCGCCGATGCATCGGCGATGCGACGCCGTCGCCGATGCATTGCCAGTGCATCGGCGATGCGGCGCGTTCATCCAACTCCAACTGCTCCAGCCCCATCTGAGCGCCCTCCATTCTTAGAAGGGCCTGGAGGTTCCCAAAGGCTGGAAGGGTTTCTGACAAGCCGCCTGACATCTTCACAGACCCCTGACGTCGTAATTTTGTCATGACGTGGGCCCTCCGATGTCTCCACTTTTTCTCAGGCCCGCTTGTCATCCCGAGCTGCTTCAATTGACGGTCCTGGGCCCTGGCGATCGAGCCCCAAGGGGCCCGAGGATTGCCAAAAGCCTTCCGCGGTGCTTTTTCGGGACGCGAGGGGACCTGGAACTCGGGTCCTAACTCGGATCTCCATCTTCCGCGGACGTTCGGGACGATTCGGGCACCCTCAGAATGCTCTCGGCGAGGCGCAGCTGTTAGAAAATATTTCGAGGCAGGAAACTTCCCTGAAACCGCTGGAAAAGTCCGAAACAGGGCGCCAGAGACGGGGGCACAGGAAACGGGTGCACGGGGAACGCCGATTTCCACGCTTGGCTATGCCCCCGCTTGGGGGGGCCCCGGGTGCTGTAGGCGGCGGCATAAGTAGTACATGGGGGCATACGGTGAAGCCTAAGCTCCGGTTCAGAGAAGCCCCCGCTCGCGAGGCCCAGACCGAGGGCCTCGAACCTCTATACCTGCCCCGCCCTCAGAGGAGGCCGCCCCCCTTCGCGCCGCCATTCTCCTCCTCCTCCTCCTCCTCCTCCTCCTCCTCCTCTTCCTCCTCCTCCTCCTCTTCCTCCTCCTCCTCCCCCTCCTCTTCCTCCTCCTCCTCCTCCTCCTCCTCCTCCACCTCCTCCTCTTCCTCCTCCTCCTCCTCCTCCCCTCGCGGGCGGACGGAAACAGGGGGAACAAGCTTGGGGGGTCAAGGATGTGATAGTTTTCTTGTCTTGTTGCTTTGCCGATCGGCGCGGGCCCTCGCACCCCCATCCCCCCCCTCCCTGGAGGAGATCTTGGCTGCTTTGGGCGCCTGTTTCCAGCATGTTGGGTCTCCCCGAGAGGACGAGCTGCTACAAACGGTCGCGCTAAGCAGATGTGCGGAGCCGGACCCCCACCCTTCCCCCGCCCCCTTTGCGCCATGGGTGGGCAGCTTTTTTTTTGCCGCCCACTTTGAGGCGGGACCCCCCCAGCCGCCTGCCACGCTTCCCTTTACAGGATGGGAACGGTAGGCCTCGAGATGGACACGAGAGCTCGCGGATCTCCCGCCATGCCTGCGTCGCACCACACCCCCTCCCGCCCAATGTCGAAACGCCGACTACGAAAACGTCCACAGGCGTGGGGGGATCGAGGACTCCAGGCAAGTTGCCCCAAAAGGGGCCCCAATCCCGGACATCCCCCGATCCTTCCTTTTGTCGCTCCATCCACGGCCCTGGAGTTCCCGACCCCTCTGCTGAGGAAGCTCGTCCTTCCGCCCCGACCAGCGTTTGATGGCCCCTTGAGCCCGACCACGGGCCCCGGAGGCCAAACTCAAGGAACAGATGCTGGATGTACAGCATCATCTCCCTGGAGATTCGGGAATGGCCCCTCGAATCTTCGAAAGCATCTCCCTAGAAATGGAGAATCACACCTCTCGAGCGGGGCTAGAACGAAGACAAATCCGTTCCAGAGCGTCCCAGAACGCTCTTAGAGCGTTCTGGAACGCTCTGGGAAGGCCGCGGCGCCCGAGACATCTTCGAGAGAAGCCGGACCCCAGAGGTTTCTCGTTGTATCCCCACCCGATGTTATCCTCGTCCTGGCTTCGTTTTGAATGGCCACCTTGCGCCGCCCCCGTTCGTGCGCGCGCCGCCCAAAGGAGGCTCCCCCGCCGAGCGCGGCCCGGGCCAAGGTGATGCCCCCGCCGAGCGCCCCCGCGCCCGCCGCGCACTGCGCTGCGCCCTGGCCGAAGGCGACTCGTCCTGCTCCTCCTCCCCAGAGGCCCTGCGCTCCGAGGAAAAATTGGCGCGGCTGTTTTTTCTTTGCCATGTTCCGCCTCCAGGGGCCTCCCACGGGCCCCCGGACCGGAGGCATCTCGATTCGGGACGGGGAACGGGCCATGGGGAGGTCGTCCGGGCATCCGGGGACCCTCTGGGACCGCGCATCGAGAAAATTGGAGCGTGCAGGTGTCTGGGTCCCTCATCCGCATCCTGCTTTCGCTCCTCTTGCCCTCGCTCCTGCCTCCCTCCCTCCTCTTCCTCCTCGCCCCTTCCCCCGTCCCCTCCTCTCCCTCTTCCGTGACGAACGACGACCGACGACGACTACGACGACGACGACGACGACGACGACGACGACGACGACACGACGACGACGACGACGAACGACGACGACGGCGGCGCGGCGGCGGCGGCGGGCGGGCGGCGGCGGCGGCGGCGGCGGCGGCGGCGGCGGCGGCGGCGGCGGCGGCGGCGGCGGCGACGCGACGACTGGAAACCGCCAGCCCCAGAGGCAGCTCCCAAGGTCGCCGGGCCGGGGCCGCTGGCCCCGGGCCCGCTGCGGCCGCCCGCGGAGGCCACGTCGGGGAGGGGGGGGGCAGTGCACGGCGTGGGGCCGCGGGAGCCGGCCTGGCGGGAGGCGGCCCGGAGGAAGAGGCGGGGAGGACGAGGCTGGGAGGAGGAGGCGGGGAGGGGAAGGCGAGGGGGAGACAGGGGGGGGGCGCGCAAGTCTTGGGGCTGGGGGGATGCGCGAGCGGAGCGGCGGGGGCCCCATGTCTATCGGGCCCAGCGCATCTCCGCCGCCTGCCGCCCTCGCGTGTGTGTGTGGCGGGGGTGCCCTCGAGGGGGGCCCTCAAGCGCGCGGCGGGCGTGGGATCGCTTCGGCTGTCCCAGACCCCCTCGAGTCATGGAACAATTGCGAAAGGAGGTTTTTCGCTACTTTCGGCCTCTAGGGGCCCCTACCAGGCCTCGGGACCGTCAAACAATGACTCAGGATGGAAGGCCGGTCCCTGGGAATGGGTCCAGACCTCTCGGGGTCGACGCAATGAACAAACCATGACGTCGGGTGTCTGGGGTGCTCGCCACGTTGGCGTCGGAAGAAAACACAGTCGACTGCGTGGGCATTCGCGCGCAAGCTGCCCGCGTACGGTCGCGCGTGAGCGCCTCCGTTTTCAATGTAGAGTGCCGCACTGGCGGCACTCTTCGAGTTTCGGCCTCGAGCGCGCGGTGCCCTCGAGGGGGCCTCGAGCGCGCGGTAGGCGTGGGATGTAACAGGGGGTATGGCAACCCCTATTCCCTAGGTTGTGGGGTTGTGGGGTTTCCAAATGGACCAAAATTTGTGAATGCTCATCTCGGGGATATACGACGGGGGGGGGGCGTTCATGCTCAATAGGGGAGCGTCCGAGTAGCCCCCTGGGGGGGATCCCCGAGTTGCCCCATTTTTCTGAACGCCCGGAACTCGGGGATCGGGAGCGAGAAGCCGCCTGCGTGGCATTGTCTCGGCTGTGCTCGCCACGTGCTGCCGTGCCGCTCTAGGAGAGACTGGAGGCGTCGGAGGATCGAGGGCCGATCGAACATCCAGGCTCCTCGCAGGACCGGGGATCGAGGGTCGGTTTGGAGGTAGAAGAAGCCAGACCATGCCAAGTCGGTCAGCGGGCTGCCGCCCCCCTTTGTTCGGCTCCCGAGAGGGTGTGGCGGCCGCTGGCGTTGCGGCCCCTCGCCCGCCGAGTCTGGCCACTGGCTGGCTTCACTGGAAGAGCGCTTTGCTAAAAGGAGTGTCTGTCCACCCCCAGAGGAGGGGGAGTTCGGCCACGCGCAGAGAGGGGGGGTAGGGAGGGGGGGAAGGCGTCTTAGAAGCACTCTCAGAAGGCACGGGTCTTGCCTATAGGTGTGAGTCCGGCGCCTTCTAGGAAGCAGCCTCCTTCTAAGGAGCTGTCCCCCCTCTCCCTACCCCCCTGTGCGTGCCGCCAAGGAGTGGTGACCTGGGAGGTTCTTGGCACCCACAGAGGGGGGCTGTGGGGCAGGAGGGAGGGAGGAGGAGGAGGAGCAAGAGGAGGAGGAGGAGGAGGAGGAGGACGAGGAGGAGGAGGGGGAGGAGGAGGAGGAGGAGGAGGAGGAGGAAGGAGGAGGAGGGGGTGGGGGCTGCTGCTGCTACTGAACGTCGGCATGCGCGTGCGCGGTGCTCGAACGCACGTCAACCCTTGTATCAGCTATAATGGAGTGAGCTGGACAGGTGAGACAACAAGGAAACGACTAGGAGAGCAGAGAAACCAAGTAGGAGGCCCGGCCTGCTTCTCTGGGTCGAGCAGTGCTCCAGCACGCTCGGGAGCGGGGCTGGACAAAAAAATAAACACAGAGATACAGACGGGAACCCTCGTTGCGGCCGGCTCGGCTTCCCTGCGGGCGGCGCGGCGGCGGCGAGCCTCATCTCTGTCGGCAGCAATACGCTGCTGCTGGGATTCGGAGAGGGGGAGGGGAGGGCAAGGGAAGAGGTGGGGAGGAGAAAAGAAATCCCAGTCGGGGTCCTCAAGGATCTGCTCCAAAATGGCCTGTCCCTCGAGCTCGAGGAACAGGCCATCAACGATCGAGGGGCTCAACAGGACGTTGAGGCCCTCGATCGAGGGCCTCAACGTCCTGATCCTGACATGGGGCAGGATCCGCAGGCTGACTAGCCTGCTCCCTTGGGTTGTCAGCGCCAGACTCCTCATCCGAACCCAAAAAAAGCGGACACGATCTGGGTCTACAAGAGAGCGGTGTTTGCTACGCTCGGGCCTGACAAAACCAGGCGCCACATCGCACATCGGATCTTTATCTGCCGAAAGAGACACAGAAATCCGTCAAGCTGTCTAAGACAATGGGCATGTCACACACACACGGAGACTCAGAGCCTCCGATTAGCACGAACAACTGGGATACGCCATCGCATGTACATGCAGCAATAGCAGAACACAGAACAGGAGAGTACGACTTCTTACTGGCCGTCCGGAACCTACCCTGAGCATGTTTGCCCAACAGAACCCGGTGGGCCCCCATCTCGTGCGAGCCTTTGCCCGCCCCAGGGGTAGCTTTCAACCTGTCGTTCCGAGAAACCACGCGGACAGACACTATACACGTCGGGGCGCGACCATGTTCCGAGGGGTCGGCCCCAGGACCTTGGTGCTCACACTGGTCGAGCACAGTGGTGCTGCTACAGGGCGAGGCGGCCAGAGCCAGGAGAGGGGGTCATCTGAACGAGGTAGGAGCCTTGGGGGCCCACAGGGCAGGGGCGGTGTGCTCTATCCAAGCCCCCGTCCCTGCTCTCAAATGCTGGGCCATCAAACGAACTAGGGCAAACAAAAGCATGATATCTGCACGAAGTTGCTCAATGTTACACTACTTGCCCATGGAACTCACCAAATAGATTCGGAGGACCTGAGAGGGGTGGACCTCCCTCGTGCCACCGGGACGTGGACCAAGTTTCACAGGGAGCCCCCCCCTGTGTTGATAACCCGACCCGCTCGGATATGACCAGCCCACTCTAGGACCGACCCCTCTCTAGTCAAATCACCGCGCACCACCTCAACGTCGATATCAGTATTGAGCAGGAAGGCCTTGACGGAAACTAGCGAAAGTTGTTGTTCCAGTTGCGATTGAACGTTCCCCGACCGACGATGGCCATTGAACAAATGCAATGCAAAGTACGTGGGCCGACGAACACCTAGAAACATCAAGATACTCGAGGTGCTTTCAAAGTCGCCAGAGAGAGAGAGAGAGAGAGACGGGAAGAAGGGGGGTTCACGATCTGAGAGGCGTGGTTCGGCAAGGGCTGCGAACACATCCAGCACCACTGAAACCGTTTCTGGAGTAAGTGCACAGTCAGACTGCAAAAGAATAGCCCTAGCATCATCACCCGATATTTGCTGTAGAACTGCACTGGTATCCTCAGACAGGACACCCAACTGACGATGTGCTCCATTCGCCTTGGCCAGCCTTCAACTGAGCCCGCTGCACGCTGCCTTCAACTGGCCTTGACGCGCACGCTCCGCTGCATTGAGGTCTTCCACTGCCGCGGTACATGGACCGTCGCCCTTAGCAGCCGATTTAGCAAGAGCAAGACCAACCGCACACTTGGAGGAATCGACCGGTAGGTGATGAGCCAGTGTCGAGCGATTGCTAAAATAAATGAAACACGTGCTGCAAGTCAACGATGGCCCCAGGGTCCGACGAATATGATCAATCCGAGCGCGATGAACGCGAAGGATATGAGATCGAATGCCACGAGCTTTAGCGAAACATTCCGCACACCAGGGACACCCCCACGACTTGGCAGACTCTCGTTCATCCAATCGAATGAAATGGTCGGGCTCACTGATGCGCAAACGGGACTCCAGCATTACGAAGTACGTGAACAATGGCCTTCTCCGCGGAAGCGGTCAAGGCCTCCCGTAAAACATGCCAGGCATGCGAGGCCAACGTGTCACGGATGTTAGCCTTCCAGTAGGTAGCAGAACGCTTGATGTTAGATTCCCATGGCACAAGATCTTCCAAAGGATCTGGTAGCTCGTGGAGCACTGGGTGAAACAACCGAACCCACCTGAGACCGGCAATACCCAGATGACTCCATGACCTCTGACATTCACGACGGCAGGTGGCAGCAAGAGCCAAGAATTGAGCAGGACCCGAATGCAGGAGACGACCGAAAAGCCGAAGTCGATGAGCACTTAGGAGAGCAGACGTAGGTGGCTTACCTGCAGCAGCTAGCACAGCCATGGTATTGGCAGCAGCAGCATCGCCACGCGGCATCTTGGCGATGGCCCGATAGAATACGATCACATCATCTTCCAAACCTTTAGAACGGCGGGCAAGCTCCGGACCAATGGGACAATATTCATCCTCCGTAGACCCCAAACGCAAATTCTGACGCGCAGCGCGGACCACCAGAACCCCGGCAAATTCCGCAGGAATTTGAAAATAACCCAGGAGGTCACCTCGCAACTTCTTTCTGGCCGCCTGGGAATCAGAACCTCGAAATTTAAAAATGACAGCAGTGTTGCCCACCATCGCGTTGAAGCGATATCCTCGCACTGCGAAAACATCCGCAACTTCAGCAACTAGCAGCGGCACAAGCGCGAGAAGCTGGTGGGCGTTGCCCAAAAAGATTAGCACGGCATCGTCAAAAATGGCACCATCCAACGTGCGATAAGTCCTGTCCGGACCTTCCCGCTCTCCTGAAGTAGCTAGCGTAGCATAGGCTTGCGTTGGGACCCTGAGAACGATACCCAACGGCAGCAGTTTGGCTCTGACGAGATCCACGGTGGCCGCCATGACGAAGTTGAAAACGACATCCCCCAACTGCTGCCCAGGGCCCGAGCCTAATTGAGAAAAACGATAGACGTAGCATCTTGAACGTAGAACCGCGACGGATCATGCGCATCCGCAACTTGCGCAGCCCGAAGAGGAGAGACCCCACTGACTTCGAACAAAAGCGGGTGATCCCGAATGCATCGCTGTTGTTGCGCCATAGTTTCCGGAGGGAGACCGCAGAAACGTTGCAATTTAGCTAGCGACTCATCATCATCGCACAGGGACTGCATCACA